GTGTTGATAACACAGTCTAAAGACTAGTCTATGCATTGTAGAGGTGTGAGGTGTTCATGAGGTCGACGGGGCTCCGGAGATGCGTCGCTCTACGATGCGATGAATAGCAATTATTTACGTATACCGCACTACAAAAAGTAGACTACCTCACTGGTAGCTCCTCTGAAATGATTGTCGGCTGCAATTATTATTATCCGCTCAATCGAGTCGCTCTTCAGCTCGTTAGCTTAAACAAACTTAACATGCACGTTGCCTAATCACACAAATCGGCTCTAACTAAGGGCGTACCTTTCATGTGCTCGCCAGGCAGACCTCGATCGTTAATTTTTGCAACTTGGCAGAGGCTACGCGTGGGTTTGACCGCTCGTGCTTAGCCATGGCTTGATTTGTCATCTGCTAGCCACGCTCGTTGATACTGCAAGCTCTGGCACACTGTCATCTATCACTCTCATCAGATACCCCAGGTCACACGAACACAACACTGCAGTCGGCGCGGATAGGCGTGGGAAGGCCGCAGCGAGCTGTTTTATGTAGAAGTGAAGCAATTATTTTCTTAAGCTAAAACGAAACTATTCAGGTCAGACAGCAATTATGCTGTAAGTAAAGCATTTACATCTTCCTGTGACTCTTATCTCAATTCTAGGCTAATTCTGCAAAATGCAAGCAGCTTCCAACCTTGAACCCACGTCAATACTTCAAGCGGTGCTCAGGATTCAGGCTCCCGTCCTAACTCTGTTGCTGGTTTTTTAATGCTCTGATGATCTTACTATGCCAGAACTATTTTACAGAATCGTTACTAACTTATACCTCATGCGTGGTGGCGAAAAGACACGTCCACCGTCCGGGACGTGGTTATTTACAATATCGGAACAAGTAAGATCTTTCATTGACTTGTCCGGCGACGAGTGACGTTTTTCGCCTGATTATTGAAAAATTATTGATAATTCGTTTACTGAAAGGTAGAACTCATTCGCAAATTGTACGTGTCCACCATTGTTCGTTTAGAAATGTTAGTTTCGGTTCTGCTTGTCGATTCCTAAGGAAATGCATCTCGCCGCTTTCTGTACAGTTAGACGGGGGCGGGGCGGGAAGTGTAGCACAGTGGCAGAGTTGGGGAGCAAAACTCGGTTCCGAGTAGGAACAAGAAATAACAATTGTCCGGTCCCGGGATTGATAAGAGTTGTGAGGACAGGAGGCCGAGACCCGCGGACCGCAGCTCTCTCTCTCTATGCTCCGTATCAGCTGATCGCTGCACGGTGCGGCTCAGCGTCTCTCTCTCTCTCTCTTTCTACACACAGCGGATCTGCTGCCCGTTTAACAGCCTCATCTTTGTCAAACTTTCTTATGTTCTTTCTTTAACGCGTAATGAAGGCTATTAAGCGTTTTAGCTCCTGTGTTGTTAATATTGACCGCCATTTCATTTATGAAGTGAAGCAGCCTCCCTGTGTCCTAGCGCTTTCCTCACATCCCGGACCCCCAGACTCGGAGGAGCACAGGGATGTCAGTATTGTTTATGAAGCAGGGTATAGAAAGTACATTATTGAAATGAAAATACTATTTATTTACTTTTACAAACAGTGAGCAGCTGGGCAGCTGCAGCATGTGTATTGCAGGACATGTGTAAGCGTGCAAGCGTCTTTGAGTTGTAGAAAAGCGCTAGGCTTATAGGCTATAAATATAATGTATTATTATTTTTATTATAAGGCCTATGTGTTGGACATGTGTGGTTGGACTCTGTCTCACAGGCAGGTTGCAGTGTAACATCAGAGGAGACTGGGCCAATTGTACATTCTCAAACTGCACCACTTAAAACTAACTAAACAATGCAGAGATTATTTTTATATAATTGTATTCAATAACCGTAATAGATTAAACAGTATGAAGTGATTTGTAAATAGGAATACAGATTTGACTTAATGTTTTCATAAATATATTTTTCTCCCAGTTTTTCATGGGACTTATTTTTACCCTCTCAAAGAACCGGAATCGAGAACCGAAAATGACTGGAATCGAAAAGCAGAACCGGAATCGTTAAAATCCAAACGATACCCAACCCTATGTGTGATGCAGTAAAATCTCACCGCTCACTTACGTTAGCGGTGTCGTAAAACCGTGGCAAAATGTAAAATACGATGGAGAAGAAGAAGATTCCAGTGGCCCGAATTTGTGTCCATTCTGGACAAGTGAAAAATGTATTCGGACAAGTAAATTGCCAAACTCACTTGTCCATGGACAAGTACTCTCTAAAAACTTTTTCTCACACTGACATGTGTAAAATTATTTCTACCCTAACAAATCTTATTCTTACGATCTTGACATGTAATCGAGTGGTGCAGGAATGAGTCGTAAAACCAGGAAATGTGTTAGCATTTCATTACTTCAAGCTTCCTTGTCCCAAAGTCAGACGTTTTTTGTATGTGTTTTTAGTTAGATGCTTGAAATAAGATCTGTGGTTAACACAAGCTGAAGAGATTTCCACCTTTGTTTCTTATAATAAAAGCTTTTGTGTTTTCAAAAAAATGGCAGTTCCCAACGAGTGAATGAGACTATCATCGCGCTGAACATTAGCCACCTTTAGCTCAGCAGTGGTGATGTGCAGCCATGCAACACTGATGTAGTTTCTTTATAGCCTAACTTAGCGTTTTACTTTTGCCGTTAGCATTTACACTTTAAAAATCATAAAATATGTGAATATGTGGAGATTGTCCCGCTAAACAGAATGTGTAAGTATTATTAACGTGTTTGCCAAATATCTTTCTTTCTGCAATATTCCAAAATCCAATGGAAAAATCGTATTGACTATTGTCGAGGGAGCCCTTGTGACGCTAACTTCCGGGTCATCCTTCAAAGATACGTCATCACTGCACCACTCTATTTTGGGCAAGGCATCTGGTAGTAGAACTCACTGGTTGCAGTAGCCCACACGATAGCAGCGTGTGCAGCGCTTCAGCTTGTCGTCATCACACACCGGAGGCTTCAAGCAGGCGGCACACTTAGAGATGGGAATATTAGGGACCTGGAGTCTCTGTAGGGAAAACACATGGCAAAGGAAAAAAAACTCAATATCTTTTATCACCCACATTTAATACGCTTTCGGAAAAATCTGGTTTTAATTACCTGCTGCACTCGGAGCAGAACCACCCTCTCTTTGGCCATGTCTTTGGAGAGCACCTCAAAGCAGAACAGCATGTCGGAGGAGGACACTGTGTCCAGGGAGTGGGACCGCAGGAACATGCGCTGGAAGCGGTTCTTCCCCACCTGAGAGGACAAAATAACGAGTACAGTTTTGTCCTTCAGCAGGCCGTCTCTAATTGCTCCATTCACAGTTTTTTTATTTGTGTTCCAAACCCACATGAGTACAGAAAACATGTGAAACTTAAGGGTAAAGTTAAACAAGTATTGTAATTATTATTTTTAACTGTATGTTTTCACTCTGTATCTGTATTTTGTTTTGTGTGCCCTGTAGTAATATTATTTCTTAAGGCGAGACACCCCAGGTGAATAGGGTAATTTTTTTAACTTAAAAGGTATTAGCTAGAAATTTCTCCAGTTAATTACTCATTTAATATGCACATATTTTAACACATTTCAGGAATCGAAATCTGAACTTTGGATAAAGCCAGGCGGTTTCATTTTGTAGTCATATTAGTATCTAAGGCTTTTACAGAAGGGATATTGGATATCTCTTTTTATCACTCCATAAATCAGAAAATACTGTCAACAGTCCTAAAACATTAATTTTCACCATGTTTTTAGGTATAAAATCTTGTATAATTCAGGCTATGAATGACATATGAACAAACCCTTCTGTAAAAGCCTTCATAATATTGATAGGAATATAACTGGAAGGTTTGGTGTATGTACTACATACACCAAACCTTCCAGTTATATTCCTATCAATATTATGAAGGCTTTTACAGAAGGGTTTGTTCATATGTCATTCATAGCCTGAATTATACAAGANGAAAGACTGATATTGTTCTATCATCGTCTGAAACTGTTAGGTCATGATGTGAAACGGTTAACAAAGAAAAAGGGAAACTCAAGCTGCTGCTACACTTTATTTTATTTATCTATAATTAAGCACTTTTAAGATGCACACATTTTCNTCAACAGCCCTAAAATATCAATTTTCGCCATGTTTTTAGGTATACAATGTTGTATAATTCAGGCTATGAATGACATATGAACAAACCCTTCTGTAAAAGCCTTCATAATATTGATAGGAATATAACTGGAAGGTTTGGTGTATCTACGTGCTACTGAAGTAGAAATGTCGAACTCAGAGTAGGAGAAAGAACTCATTTTGAGAAAACAACCTTTAAAGATTGCAGTGAGGCGCTAGCTAAACCCTCCTGTTCTTTGGATGACAGCTTGCGCATCGGCGCACTCCGTGAAGGTATTTCATGTTCGGGGTCATTTGTTTTTTGTATAACCTTGCTTCGTGCAAGTGACAATTGTTGTCGTCTTCTCTGCCGTTCTTTTGCCATTTTGAGATTTCAATTTCTAGCGGAAAGCTAACCAGGAAGTGTTTTAGCACACCACGTGACGCATCTGAACGAATCACGTTGTCAGAAATTGACACCAGCCAATGAGATTTCGTTTCTTGGTTTAAGACCCCTTTGTACTTTCACGATTGGTTGCTGATACAAAGGAAATGACCATATTTGGATCCGATGAGATTTTGCAGGAGAGACACAGCTTTCCAACGATATCTCTGATGACATGGTGCACACAGCGGTCGCGGTACTTTATGTTACGTTAGAATGCTAACTTTTGGTGAATTTAGAAGAAATCTACAGACGCAAATAGACAAACTATAGTAAAATAAACACTTAAATGTATATTTTGTAAGTTTTCCTTCCAAAAGCCTGAAAGAAAACATGTTATGGAATCAAAATAGCACAATCTCAAAATTGACCAGTACTTGAAAAACGATGTTTTTGCCTGCCGTGTCTCGCCTTTAAATAGAAAAAACATTTGAAATAGAAATCATGTTAGAAATGTCAGGAAAAAAATAACTGTGAATATTTGTTATATCACACCTCTGCCAGCCTGAGGTTCTCTGGTTTGACGCGGACATTCCTGGAAATGGATTCGAGGACTTCCGCCGTGCTGGAGTTCTCCTTACTCACACTCACCAAAAACTGAGACACAGATTAACATAAATAAACATAAATGAACATTAGACAAAAGATACATCTTGTGAAAACATATAAAAGGTATATGTGCTTAAGTGGAAAGTTATTTTATCTTACCTTGATGGGTTTCTTATGAGGTTCCTTAGCAAAGTAGAAAACTGAGAGCACCTTTTGTTTCTGGGGTAGGGGCACGGGCAGGTAAAGGAAAGGGTCAAAGGTTATGGACACCTGGAGAAAAAGAAGAGAGAAGTGAGGAATGGTGAAAGGAATGATTTATTTAAAAAAACAAAGCAAACATTTGAAAGCATTTCCATATTAGGAAGAACATTTTGAAGAAGGTACCTTGGAGCACATGGGGCAGACCAGCTTGGATTTGAACTGGCCCTGGAAGAGGTCCACTATGAAGGAGTCGTTTCTCATCTTGTGCCTCTGCCATGCCTCCTCTGCCACCACCTGCACCAATACATACATCACATCAGAATTACCTACAGCTTCACCATTTCAAAAAAGAAAGAGCACTAATAACTCAGATACTTATTGATGCCTCTTAAATTAATTACAACTCAACCAATTATATGAGGCAGCATTAGAAAAGGGAAACATATGGGAAAAAAGGCATGGGAAACCCAGTCCATATCTGGTAACCTCCGTTTTCTCTCCTCAAGATTTCTGCTGAAAAACCTGACCTGTTACTTTAGTACCCTCAACCAAGAAATCCAAATTAAGTGGGTCTTAACAATCCTGCTCGAGGGAGTGTAGATCAGTTTCTGCATACCATGCACATGTTTGTTTATGTCCTTGTGACATTTTATAAGATAGGAGTAGGCAATTTATTCTAAGAAATTCAAACACTTAACACCTTGCCTTTTACTTTGGAAATATCCCTAAAGGTTTAAAAAAAAAAAGCGACATATCCCCTTTAGAGGATTATCATCGCCACAGGTGAAAAATGTCAAAGAGGAGAACCCCTCCCTCCATTGCTTTTCTTATAAACCTAAACTACTAAATTGCTCAATAGAGAAAATCACTTCGCTTTCATTTTATTTGCACAGATTTGACAGTATTTTCCCAGTCGTAACTTATTCTAAGCTTTAAAAAAAAGTATCACAAAAAACAAGTCAAGAACATCAGAATTGACAAGAAGGAAGAGTTAATATTTCAAAAGAAAATTCCCCAAAAAGAACATTCTTTTATTTGTCATTATCCTGTGAAAAGTAAGGATTTTAGTGCTAGTGGCCATGCTTAAAGCTAAGTCACTTATCACAGCACATTTACCACTCAAGACTTCTAAACCCCACCACCTCTAGATAGCTCATAGGTGAGAGAAACACCCACCTCATCCAGCCGCCCGTCAGAGTCCACCGTCTCTGTGTAAGGTTTGTTCTGGATGCGGTTCAAGTCTTCATGGAGCCCGTCCAGCAAGAACGCCATGAACTCCTGGGCGTCGTGCTGGGCGTAGCCTGTAAACTGACTGGCTTTACTGGCCACTATAGCCTGTACGGGACAAAGAAGGAGTGGGAATGAGGGGCATTAAAGCACTGATCACGTTGCTCTTGCTACACTCAGCATGTTATGTTTCCTTTGAGAAGATTAGGTATAGTTCACATGGAAAATCTCTGCTTGTGTACCTTGAGTTTGGAGGGTTGGAAGGCATGATGTGTTCCTTTCCAAAGGGCCCTGAGGAGCACAGCGAAACCAATGGCTAGCCGGCCTCCTGTCCCCAGAGGATTATTGCAGTTGATTTCTGACTCAAACCCTCGATCTACAGGAGTAACGAAAGAAGGCATGAGACACTGGGAGACATCAATCACAGAGGTCCCTGGAACTTAGACGTTTATGGGTACAGACCGAAAGGACATCACAGTAACATTTCCTCAGAATGTATCCGTGTGGAAGAATGTGGAAAGTAAAGCGCTTTAGTTGAAGACCAAAGATAAAAGCTTTATTGGTTTTAAAACATTTTAAATGCAAAGGTTTAAATTCAAATGAAAGGTAGTTTTCTAAACTGATACCCACACAGTTCCAGTTAAATGTCATTTAAAAAAAGGATTGTATCTTTCGATTTGTTTAGGTTCATACCTATGTTTTATTAATATATCTTTTTTTTTTTTTAAACAGGTTTACATCCTGTACTGTCAAAAACACATTATTTTTCTCATACTTTTTTTCTCAAAATAGCGGTATTCATTCTAACCCGGCTTCTCATTTTGTTTGTGGTTCAATCTTGATCAAATGGATCTTAAATATATGTTTATAAATATATAGTTTAATCAGTTAATGTATCATCCCCACAGCATGCATTGTCACACGTGACCTAGATGAAGCTGCAATTATTTCAAAGTTTAAAATACTTGAACTGCAGAAAATACTGTGTATCTGGGATTTTCAGACAACTTGAGAAAATCCTCATTAAATGAGCTCCTGTGGGCCACTTGGCACTGGTGTGGTTAGCAGAGGCAGTCAATAAAATAAGAATTAATGAGGCCATAATTATCATAGCATTATCTGTTTATCTGTGTACCCAAGCCCTAAGAAAACAGACAATTTCTTATTTTTTAGCAAAAGAATAAATTAGTGTGCCTACTAAATTATGCCTTTAGGTCCATGTTACTAATCTTTTAAGAAGTTAAAGTAAGAATGTGCAGAAGAAAAAGAAGAAAAAAAAAGGAAAGAAAAAAAAACATATTTAATTCAAGTTAAATGTCCAATAAAAGATCAAATATATATATGTTTTCATAAACATAAGAAGTAAAGGAAAACAATTAAAAAAATATATATATTTTTTTATAAAGATAAGAAATTAAAGTTAAAATGTACACATTGTAACGTAACCTGTGCTAACGAACAAACTAGACAGTATTCACCATGGAAGTAATCCCTGAGTTCTCTGCTGTTGGACAGGGATTGGATGACGCTGTTCATGAAGCAGGTGTTTCCAAGGTTGACCAATCCTGTAAAACCAGGCAGGCACACCTTCTTCTCCTCCTCTTCTTCATGGCGCTCGTTGCTGGCGGGAGTGGCGTGGGTCATGGGCTGCACCATGCAGGTGGGTTTAGGCTGTGTGAGAAAGATCAATACATACATTCTACAAATTAAAAACATTGACATGTCTTCTAAATAAGTCATTTCAAATATCTGATATTGCAATTAGGATAGGAATTGTAAAGGATTTGTCATCTTCCTGCTTACCGTGGTAACAGCTGGCTCTGGCTTGGAGATAGGGACATGCTCAGAGACGGAGCGAGGAGCCACGTTATCCAGACCTCCATCATCCATCCTGGACGAGGCTTTAGGGGGCTTGGGTTTCTCCTCCCCGACCCTGAGGGGCTCCTCCTTGGCGGAGTGGCTGTGCTGGCTGCTGCCCGGCTGACTCTTCTCCATGCACGATGGGCCGGAGGGAACAGCGACCTTGGCTCCACCCACTGCACCTTGAACAGGAGAATGGCGCTTGTGGTTAGAAGCTAAAGGTCTGCACAAGAACAAGACACTGGAAGTTGCTGGCCGTGAATAGCTGTAAACAGAGTTTCATTAAGGTAGACTTTAAAAATAAATTAAAAAAATTGTGCAAAATCTAAATTATTTTTGAGATCGAGGGTTCCTGCAGGTTTTACCAACTCAAATGTAAGACTTTTTAAGACCACTTTGAATAGAATTTAAAGGGCCCATGTCATGCTTTTCCGGTTATTACCCGTCCCCTTGTGTGTTATGAAGGTTTTTCTGCATGTAAACGGTCTGCAAAGTCACAAACCTCAAAGTACACCCTGTAGCGAGTAAAACTCGAACACAGAAAAGACCTGTCTATGCTGCTCCAGAACGCCTCGTTGGAGATTTCTCATTTTCCATTGTTTTCTTCCTGGGTTCTGTGACGTGTGAATACCCAAATCAACAACAAATGACCGGAGCTCCAACAAGCCGTTTAGGACAGAGAGTGAATACCTGGTGAATACACATACTATACAGAGATGCTGTATGAGAAACCAATGTGAGTTTGGAAAATTGCACAATTTAAATCCATTTTAGTAGACCTCAACAATGGAAATATGATCAGTAGAAATGGCCATGACCTTTAATACCTCATTCACACCAACGCAACTCTGGTTCAAGCTCCGTGTTAGAGCTTTTCAGGTTCAGAACCGGTTCTTCGGTTTAGCTCTGGCTCTTTTCACACCGCCCAGAGTCAGACTGGTAATGCGTCATTGCGTCATCGTTTGCGTCATGACGTAACCGTTTGCGTGCCTGCTTCATAAAGCCAAACCGCGCGGATGAAATCAGTCACAGCTGACACCGACAATAACAACAATGGCCGATTGTGCTCTGAAGAAGGTCTACCTGTAATACAGAGCAGAGATTAGGAGTTGTTCGCGTTGGACCAGAGAACCTGCGGATCGTCCGAGTATTAATACTTCCAACACCAGGTCAGTATACGTAAGGGCTTATAAGTACAAGTTGAAGAAGACACAGCTTTGATCGTAACCCTAGGTACAAATAATTATGTGCAATGTGACGGCAGAGGGAACGACAGGGCACAATGCATTCTAGTGTGCGCCCTTCCAGTTCGCACGCTCGCGAAAAAATACACCTTCACTTGTAAAGAATTGTTTTTGCTGCCGGTCTACAGTGACATCACCAATAAAGACGATATAAAAAAACTTTACGATCACATATAGGTAGTAAAAGGATGTGTAAATAGTCGTCCACCACGGAAATTGGACCTTCAACGGGAGAAAATTTTCCCCTCACCTAACATTTATAGGTTTTTCTTTTTAGACGAATCGTCAAGACAAAGTTTACCCACAACTTTCTACATTGATACTAGAGGAGTATAACGGAGAGTTTCACGTGGTCTACTACGAAAAGATTGAAAAAATATAAATTTTTTTTTATAGAAGGACCCCCTCGCTACGGGGGCCTTGGAGGGATTCTCCTCCAATCCGGGTGTAAATTTAGTACAAGTGTACCTATGATTTATGTAAACGTGTGTAGAAACACAGAGTATAGAAAAGACAAAACACCAGTACGGTGTGACACGTGTACGTACGTACGGTACGTAACGGCTCTCAGGTACCATTCTATAGACCTAAATTTCCAACGAAAAAAAGAAAACGTGTCGTACTTTCTTTCCCGGTTTACTTAACCGACACTAAAATCAAAAAAATTCGGTTCTCAACTCAAAGTTATTAAACATGCCGGGGAGCCTCCTACAACCATTTTTTAAACTTTCCTTTTTCCAAGGGGTGGGGACGACATTTATTATTACTTTTTTGGTGAACTAAATATGAATTGTAGAGACAGAGGATACTAGACTCATATAATATTTCTTATCGGTCAATTAACTTCGTAATATCGTGTCCGGAAACAGTCTACCGATATAATGCGTCAAAAAAGGACGAAGCTTTATAAAGAGAGAAAAAGTGGTATGGACACCAAACGTAGTGACAATATTCTTAATATCAGATTTGGTGTTCCTTACCTGAGG